TCCTGGTCTCCCATGGGGTGCAGGGCCCAAGTACTTGGGCCATACTCTACTGCACTCCCGGGCCACAGCAGAGAGCTGGCCTGGAAGAGGGGCAACCGGGACAGAATCCGGCGCCCCGACCGGGACTAGAACCTGGTGTGCCGGCACCGCTAGGCGGAGGATTAGCCTAGTGAGCCGCGGCGCCGGCCTGCTACCACCATCCTTTCCTGTTCCCTTGTCACTCCTCGCCACTGTTCCCTCTATGACAATGCCTTTCCACGCATCGCCCACCAGGCCGCAGCTTGGACTCCCTGTCACCGTGACGTCTCCCCACCCTCTGCCCCAAGTGCCCAGCAGTGCTATTTCACTGGGATGCGAACTGCCACGCCCTGTGATCATTTCCTCTACTCGAACAAGAGTTGCCTGAGGCCACAGACCGACTCACTCACTTTTGTGACCTCAGAGAGAGCCTGGGACAAGCAGCCGTGCTTCCCCGTGGACTCAGTGCGGAGATGGAGTGGTGCTGCCCCACGTCACCGTGTCCTAACCTCCTACCCCTCGCGGAAGGCCTCTCTCCTTCAGCGGCGCTGCAGCCTGGGAGGCTCACGCTGCACGAAGGAGCAGCTGACCTCGAACCAGCCACTTGGTGGACTTAGGTCTGCCAAGCCACGGTGTGCGGGAGAGAAGCTTCGGCAAGACAAAGGACTCCATTTGCCTGAAAAGCACTAAGTCCATCTACGCTTGGTTTCCCCAGGGCCGGCTGGCTCTCCTCTTTGAATCCAGGGCGCCTGCGCTGTCAAGCCAGTATCCCAAGGGCCGCAGTCAGTGACCGCCTACTGTTTAAAACAGAATCAAACCAACCTGAGAATACAACGCAATCTTCTGGAACATTCCATCTCCAGCTCCACCTATTCTTGGAGGAAAGCAAAGCTGTAGACAGATTTTTTCAGAAGCACCAACTGAACTTGCAGAGCAGTCTGTTAGAAATCCAGGCAAAAAAAAAAAAAAAGCCGGCGCCGCGGTTCAACAGGCCAATCTTCCACCTTGCGGCGCCGGCACACCGGGTTCTAGTCCCGGTCGGGGCGCCGGATTCTGTCCCGGTTGCCCCTCTTCCAGGCCAGCTCTCTGCTGTGGCCAGGGAGTGCAGTGGAGGATGGCCCAAGTGCTTGGGCCCTGCACCCCATGGGAGACCAGGAGAAGCACCTGGCTCCTGGCTTCAGATCAGCACGGTGCGCCGGCCACAGCGCGCCGGCCGCGGCGGCCATTGGAGGGTGAACCAATGGCAAAGGAAGACCTTTCTCTCTGTCTCTCTCTCTCTCACTGTCCACTCTGCCTGTCAAAAAAAAAAAAAAAAAAGAAAAGAAAGAAAAAAAGAAAGAAATCCAGGCAAATCCATACACTCTGAGGAGGTTTTAACAGTACTTTCCCAGCTATAACTGAGTTTACAGGGGACACAAGGGTCCCTAAAAACCACACAGCACATCAAACACTGCCCCTAACTGGCCAGCCACACCTCTAGGATTCCACCTTCTCCTCAAATATTTCATTGTTTCTTAGGCGTCGTGGTGTGTTTGGGAGGACTCTCATGGAGCGTTTGCATTTGAAATAGAGTCCACAAAAAGTAATTCTTGGCTAAAGATTCACCAAAGCCAGGACTCAGGATATTATACCCCCACCCAGGAATGCTCAGAGCTTCCTGCTCCAAGACTCGTCACGACAAAAACCTGGCGTTCGCCCCCCTTTCTTCTTTGTCCTTCTCTGGCGGTTTCTCAGGAGCAGCTTGCTAACCTGAAGAGCCTCGGGAGAAAACACCCAAGTTAGACCCAGGGGTTTCTGTCCCGGCAAACCATCCATCCTCTGCTATCAAGGGGGCACCCGCGTGTCCGCGTGGAGGCCACTAGTGGCTAATGCAAGAATTGCAAGAACTTGGCACTTGAAAACCAACCAACCAAAAAACAGGGACTGTGCCTTCCTAAGTTCAGTTCCTCAGAAGACAGACTCGGGAAGACTTGATATTATTGCCAGAAGAATCTCATGCTGGCATAATTGAACGCAGATCTGAAGTGTGCAGGATAAGCTCCCTGTTCCGATGGTTTGTATGCCCTTTCCTTTCGTCCTGCCCTACTCCTCTGAGGCTTCAGTTAGGAGCCTGGATTCAGGGACCCTGTCCTCACAGCAGGTGGTCCTTCAGGCTATCTGCATGAAAAACAATAAATGGGGCAGGCGCCGCGGCTCACTAGGCTAATCCTCCGCCTTGCGGCGCCAGCACACCGGGTTCTAGTCCCGGTTGGGGCACCTGATTCTGTCCCGGTTACTCCTCTTCCAGGCCAGCTCTCTGCTGTGGCCCGGGAGTGCAGTGGAGGATGGCCCAAGTGCTTGGGCCCTGCACCCGCATGGGAGACCAGGAGAAGCACCTGGCTCCAGGCTTTGGATCAGCGAGGTGCGCCGGCTGCAGCGGCCATTGGAGGGTGAACCAACGGTAAAGCAAGACCTTTCTCTTTGTCTCTCTCTCTCACTATCCACTCTGCCTGTCAAAAAACAAAACAAAAAAACAGTAAATGGATGCAGGCTTATGAACTCTGGACCTGGCTATTAATAGTAAGATTCTAGCGACGCCGGAGCCAATAGACTGCTCGATTCTCAAGCGATGGACTGCATTCGTTCATTGTACAGTCAGGGAGCCTTCACACTCCAGGACAGCGCCGCCACTGAGTGTCCCAGAGTGCCCCCGGGGTTCTACAGGCATGACTTCCAAGCAAATAAGGACTGAGTTTTCAAAATGATTCACTTGGGGCCAGCGCTGTGGCGCAGCGGGTAAAGCCACTGCCTGCAGTGCAGGCATCCCAAATGGGTGCCGGTTCAAGTCCCGGCTGCTCCACTTCCAATCCAGCTCTCTGCTATGGCCTGGGAAAGCAGTGGAAGATGGCCCAAATGCTTGGGCCCTGCACCCGTGTGGGAGACCCAGATGAATCTCCTGACTCTTGGTTTCAGATCAGCACAGCTCCGGTCATTGCAGCCAATTAGGGAGTGAACCAGTGGATGGAAGACCTCTCTCTCTCTCTCTGCCTCTCCTTCTCTCTCTGTGTAACTCTGACTTTCAAATAAATAAATCTTTAAAAAAATGATTCAATTAAGCTACACTCCACCCTCTCCCCTCCCAAATAAATAAACAGTAATCCCAGATTTTTTAAGAAATTGACCTACCTATACAAATTCTCTGGAGTTTTGATGTCATATTGGCCATCTATTGTTCGGAGTGCAGGTCTGTAGGGGCTACAGGCTGCACATGCTTCCTGTAGAAATTAGTGGTCCCTGGAGGGTCTGACCTGGTTGGGATTTCACTGTTTGCACCTTCTGAATCGGTGAGCATCCACTGCTCGTGTGCTGTGGGTCGGATGCTCTCACAGGTGCTGTTCAGTAGGCTCTCCCAACAACTTGCGAAGGAGGCATTTTGCTGGGGGGGGGGTAAACTGAGGCTGAGGACATTCCCGTGCCTTGTCCTGAGTCCCAGGGCCAGCCAGGCCTCTGCACTGCCCTGACGGCCTTTGTGGAGGCGCCCAGTTCTCATGGCCTTGGATCGGGTGACTGTGCCTTGCTCTCGCTGTTCTTACTATACTGCTCTTCCAGCGCCTCGGTCCCCTAGCCTGGGTCCCAGTGACTTCTCTGCCTGCGGAAAACTGAATGTGCCAAGGTGACCTGCTTGATGACTGGACACCTGCAAGCTCTCCAATTTCATTTGCATTCGTAAAAATAAAGATGCCTGGACGGGCCGGGGAAGCATCTCAGCTGCTTGCTTTGGGCCTCCGAGCCCTAACCCAGAACACGGGGTTGAGAGCCCTTCATGAGCAGGAAGTCCTTCCAAAGCCTCAGTCCTAGTGCCCGGATGGAGAATCCAGCATGCCGCACACAGCAGGGAGAAGACACCAGACCTGCGAGTTGATCTTGGCGCCCGAACTGGGCTCCTCAACTGAAGCTGTCCTTCCGGTCTGCCTCCCCAAAACATGGACGGTGCCTGATGGGTGAGGGTGGGTACCTCTTTATTTTCACAACTCGGTATCAGCTTGTGTGGGTGAGATTGAGCAACACAATCTTAACCCTCCCCCAACACCCAGCCAGTTCTTTGACTTGCTGGATTTTTGACTGATCAACACTGCCTTTTCCATTTGTACCAAGAGTCCCAAATCAGCCTGGGACCCTTCTGACAAGATGACCCGACCACATGGCCCCAGGGTCACCCATGGTTGTTTACGCCCCAGTGAAATGCAGCACACAGCACCCTCGCGAGCAAATTCAGGTTTTGGTGCGTGAATGCTGTCGGCTAAAAGTGCTCCCAGCTAGATGCCACGCGGGGACGGGAGGCTGAACGTCCCTGCCTTGGCCCAAGGGAATGGCGAATGTGGCACCAAACCAGCGCTGGCACCTGGGCAGGCGCTGTCACAGCTGACGGGCTGAGAGGTCAGCTGCTGGCGGCTGGCTGCACCGAGAGCAGGTCCCCCAGGGTCAGACGGAGGCCGGAGGCAGGGGCAGCAGCTTGCCTCGCCTGCTCCCTGGCTGCTCTGGAGACAAATAGAAGACTTCCATCTCCATTACTGTCAGAATCGGCTGCCTCTTGCCAGCTCTGAAACTCACAGCCGTGGAGAGAGCGAGGGAGAGGGAGAGGGAAGGAGGTGCAAACCAGACAATCAAAACAGCCGCAATGTTTTGGAAGTGGAATCTTCCAGCTAGGGAACATTCTCAAAAGCACAGAACAGCAGGACTGGAAGATGCCTCCATGAATCCCACACCCTGGTTTGCAGAGGAAACAGTTGAGAGGTAGAAAGGGAAAGTGACGCCCTGAAGGTGACGAAACAGTAAGAGACAGAATCCCAGCAAGGATCTGGGCTTTCAGCACTCAGAAGAAGGAGATCTTTCCTTTAAAACCAGAGTCTGGCACGGCGCATCCTTTTGTGGGAGCCGGAGGACGCCCGGCCAGCGCCCGTGGGGGCAGCCACGCATGGACCCGAGGCAGGGCGGGCTCCTACCTTGCAGGTTCACACCCCGGGGCAGCAGCCCCTGCAGCTCCACTGTGGGGAGCTCGTCTTCTGCTGCATTGGAATTGTTGGGCGGGACTGCCCGCCTGCCCCCAAAGGTGCTGCTGGAGCTGCCCGACATTCTCAGTGTCACGTGGTCCTTGGAGGGAAAAGGGAGACAAGGAAGAAGATCAGGAAGGATCCAGCAGGTGGTGGCCCAAGTGAGTAGGCTGCTGCCACCTGTATGAGAGACTGGGACTAAGCTCCCAGCTCCCTCCTTTAGCCTGCACAGCCCTGGCTGCTGTGGACATTCAGGGAGTGAACCGTGGATGGGAGATCTCTCTCTCTCTCTCTCTCTCTCTCTCTCTCTCTGTTTCTCTGCCTCTCAAATAAAACAAACAAAGAAGCATTTTTTAAAAAGAAGGCAAACAGGCCCACAAGGAGGAGCACACGGAGGTGGAGAGGCTGGGTACCTGGGACGAAGCCCACTTGCAATTCTAAATGGGGCTATAGATAGACTGTTCTCCAAACAGCCTTAGTCAGGGCTGCTACCACCACCCCCGCCCCAAGCTGGTTCCCCCGCCTTTGGAATTTGTGTAGGCCACAAGCCAGGTTAAACACCACACACCTTACGGGCAGCACCGAACAAGGACTTGTTGACCAAATGACCCAATGAAGGAGGACTTTGTTTCTGGACCTAATCACCTAGATTACCCAGGCATGACTCCTGCAGACTTTGCTGTTTTCAAAAACTTTAGGCATATCATCAAAAGATGCAAAGTCAGCTGCGACAGAGGCAAGTAGAAGGTTCCAGAAACATGGTGAGAGCAAACCACTGCCTAAGGTGTTTGGTCTTGGAAGGATAAGGTCTGAATAAATATCTCTAAATATATTCAGTCTCTGGTCAGCGGGGTGGGGGGGTGGTGTTGGAGGGTGTTGAAGGGTTCATGATAACGAGAAAGCTAGAAACAGCCAGGGTGGCTGTAGGATGCCCCAGGAGGGAAGGCTCTGGGAGAGGGCAGTGCAGCAGGGAGCAGCCTGTGGGAAAGTGGGGAGCCCCAGGGGCCAGCCAGGTCAAAGGCAGCAGGTGCGGGCCTGGATGGATGAATTCAGGTGGGTAGGGTCATCCCTTCTGGGCAGGTCTGGGGTAGGGAAAAGGCTCAAGTTCAGCTGCCCGTGGGGTTGGGGGGAGCCCAGGCAGCTCTGGTCAGCTGAACAGGCTTTCTCCCTGGCTCTTCTTCTCCAGGCTTTTGTGTTCCTGGCTCCACAGCCTCCCCCCTAAAGCAAGCCGGAAGGAGAGGGGGCTGTGGTCTGGGGGAAGCACACCCCGCCGCCCCTCGCGCCCCATCTGGTGACCTTGGCAAGCTGCGCACAGCGCGTGGGAGCATCCCCATCCGCAGTGCAGCTGGGCAGGTGCAGCGTCAGGAGCTACACCAGCGAGGCTGCCTCCGACCCTCAGTCCCGGGCGCCCCAGCACAGCAACCCTAGGGCTTGCCTGGGGAACCGAAGTGCAAGGGGTGGACGCGGCAGGTCCTGGGTCCCAGGGGGCGGGGCTGCTGCTTACCTGCGTGCGCCCTCCACAGGTGCCCCAGCGAAGGCTCGCTCTGTGCGTCTCTGCTACTTCCCCAAAAGAACGCAGGAAAGAGGACCCGAAAGTTGGCCCTTAAATAACTTCCTAACACCCCTCCCCCGCCTCCCCCTTCCCACAGGGCTTTCTCCTCCCCCTTCTTGACAGCTGGAGAGAGTTGAGGAGCTTGGAAGAGGACTTTCTGTTGACCATCCTGCTCCGTTATTCAGGCTGGATCTGGGCCCCACCCCTCTCTCACTCCCAGTCTCCCAGTTTCTGCTTCCCCTCCCCACCCCCGCCCCGGGAGCCCTCTCTCCCCCTCCTGCCCCGAGGGCTGCTGGGCGTGACAGGCAAGTGGCCCGCAGTGCAGGGCAGCCCTTGCCCTCCCCCTGGGGCAGCAGGGCCAGGAGGACCTGCCTGGTGAAGAGGGGCTTCTGCCCTGCAGGTTGGGGGCTGTGCTGGGCAGAGAGAGCCTGCCTGGGCAGACAGGTTGCCCAGACGGCTGTGAGCATGCATACAGCCAGGGCAGCTGTCTCTCCCTCCCCGACAAACAAGGCTGCATTCTTGGATGGTGCACAGTGACCACCACCAGAATTCCTACAGAGCTGGCACGCCCTCACCCCCACCCAGGGGAAAGACGAATAAACACCTTGAAGGCTGCCACCCAGATTAGCAAAGGACACTTTGGTTTTCTCCCCCTTGAAAACCATTTGGATGTATCTCCGAAAATGAGAGACCAAGAAAAGAAAGTCTTCCTCTAATATTTTTTCTGGGTCTTTGTCTGTTTCAATCCTCCCATTTAGGACCAGGGCTGTGTCTAGCCTTCCACACTGTCCTCAGTTGCTTACCCGGCCACTTGATCAGGATCCTGACCGCACAGAGAGAAAAACAAAATCCACTGCTTAGAAATTCCCTCCGTGTTTTGCTACCAGGTCTATGAACTTGCCTGCGACCTTAATTATCTTTTCTCTCTTTCTGCCTGATGCTAAAGAGAGAAAACCCCCCTTCAGCCCCCACCCCCTTGCCACCCTTGTCCAGACCAAGCACTCTGGGTCTCCTGTGCCTTGTTGCCTGTCACCTTTCAAGACTTCCTGTACCTTGTACCCACTCTGCATCTTTGAGCTCCTGCAGGCGAACCACTGCCTTCCCCAGCATTGACAGTTTCAAGACAAGGCTCCTCCATGTTTGTAAAACCCTCTGTCAACCCCCAGCCCCCAGCTATGGCTCCTTTTCTCTTGTCCTCTTCCTGCCCCAGCTCCTGCCATCTGGTGTCTGCTCCCTAGGTCTCTGTCTTACTTCATTTTCTGCTGCTGCAACAGAGAGCTTGTCTGAGACTGGGTCATGGATAATGAAAAGTGGATTGTTTAGCTTGTGGTTCTGGAAGCTGAGACACCTGGAGCATGGCGTCAGCAGGTGCTTTGGTTCTGGAGGGGGCCTTGTGCAGCCTCGGAACAGTGGGAAAGCAGAAGGGTGAGTGGGCGTGTGGGCACAGAAGACAGAACAGAAGAGGGACAGGCTCGCTCTATCGAAACCCACTCTTGGAGCCGTGAGTCCAATCCGTGAGAACGGCATTAACCGCCCCCCCATGACCTAATCACCTCTCACAGAGCCCACCCCCTCTCAGGACTCTCATGTTGGAGACCACATGCTCACGTGAGTGTTGGAAGGGACAAGGCACATCCAAGCCATGGCGGTATGCAATGGCCTGTGCCCAAGCTGGGGAACAGGACCCCGCCCTCCCTGGCTTGATCACTTGGAGGCACTGAGCTACGTTGCCTGCTGTGTCTTCGGAGGCCCTTTCCTGGCCTCGGGGACAAGGCCTGCCCTGTGGTTTCCTCCAGCACAGCACACTATCTCTCGGTCATCTTAGCAACTTCTGTGGTTTCCCACCCATGCCCTGACTCCTCCCCAGTTTAGTTCTCCAGCCGTGGTCTCTTTGAGAGCTCTAGGCTCTCCTAGCGCTCTGCCACTCTGGCATATCCCAGGGATGGCTCACACTTGCCCTGCCTAAAACGAGCTAGAGGATTTCCCCCGACAATCTGGTCCAGCCTGGGGGTGGGGGGACTGCCATCTCAATGACTGCTGTCGCCTTGTACGCAGTTGCCAGGCCAGACACGAGAGTGTCATTTCTGGAATTTTCTTCCTTCTGCCCCTCAATCCTCAAGTCGAATCCTTCAGCAAATCTTTTCTATTCTACCCCCTCCATAGCTCTTCAGTCTATCCACTTACTCCCTGCGAATTCATCTTCCACAATGCGGTCAGAAAGAGCTTTGAGGGACTCAGTGTGAAGTCGTGTGCTTTGCACAAAGCCCTTCACTGGCTGCTTCCCTTTGCTTTTGGGGTGATGGCCAGACGTGAACCTGCAAGGCCCTGCACAGGCCAGCTCCTGCTGTGCTCCCTGGCCCTGTCTCTTTAACCCCCTCTGCCGCACTGCCTCGCTCTCCCATCCCCACCTGCGCCCTGCTTCCAGCCTCAGTGAACTCCATATGCCGTGTCTTCGCCAGAAGCACACTCTTCTCTCCTCTGTTAGCACAAAACTGATTCCTCTCCCCCTCCCCAAGACCTTGGCCTCCATTGCTCTGCTGTCCTGCACGGAGCTCGCCTTGTCCTGGAGCTCCCCAAGCTGGTGACCACTTTCTGTTTCTGTGTGTGATGCAAGAGTCAGGGCTCCAACCAGAGTTCCCCAGAGAGAGACTGCCGACCACTGTGCTACCCAAAATTCATCCTTCCCGTGTCAGCACTGAATGTCGGCAGAAGGGCCCAGAGAAGACACCTTCACGTTTTCAGAGTTTTCCCAGCAAATAACCGAGCTGCGTGCTCAGGATTTTAAAGCCCCTCGCCCATGTGGGTTTGGGGAAGAGTGGCTGGATTTGGTTATTGCATAGCTGTCAGGCCCCCTGGGGTTCCTGGTTGAGTTGTACACTCAGGACAGGCTCCTTACCCTCACAGCCAACCCACAGTGTACCCTGTAGCCTGAGACCTCACTAATGGTTGGGTGAACATACATGGATTAGCTCTATGACTCCCCCAAACCACCAGCCCAGTAGCCACGGGAATACAATGGCTCTCACTGTGCTTAACAGTCAATAAGGGTATCTGCAGCCCAAAGTCGTCCTACGGGCATTTTACAGAGCATTTTCTCATGGTCCTATGGCTGAAGAGGCAACAAATGTTTCTGGTAATATGACGATGCTTCAAAATTCCATGGAGGAATAGAATTAAAAGATAATGGAGGCCATTGTGTGGTTCAGTTGGTTAAGTCACCAGTTACCGTACGGGTATCCTATCCTGGAGAGTAGGGTGGAGTCTCTGCTGTTTGGCTTCCGATCCAGCTCCCTGCTAATGCACCTAAAAAGGCACCTGATGATGCCCCAAGTCCTTGGGTCCCTGCCACCCATGTGGGAGACCTGGATGGAGCTCCTGGCTCCTTGGTTTGGCATGTCCCAGCTCTGGCTCTTGTGGCCATCTGGGAAATGGACCAACAGATAGAAGCGCCCTCTCTTTCTCTCTCCTCCGTTCCTCCCTCCCTCCTTCTCGGTCACTCTGCCTTTCCAGTAAATCAATAAACAAATCTTAATAACAGATATTGTGAATTTTCCGCAAACTTTTTGAAGTCTGCTGGTCCAATGAACATAGAGCTGCACCTGAAATAGGACTTCCAAGTCAGCAGCCGCAGTGCACAGCCCCTCAGGATAAGCTGGCGTCTTTTCTCTCTGTTCCTTGCCCTGCAGGGAAGTGGCACAGTGTAGGTATTTTAGGAATGTAGCGCATTCCTTAATGGGGTCCAGCCAGGAACCAAAAACCACTTTAGGTATTTTTAAAGAAGGACTTTAAAGCAGACCATTCTGCAGGACCCAGAGAGACAAGAACGCAAACAGGGGAAGGTGAGTCAACGCAGCAATTAGGGACGGCAGGGAGGAGCTGGTGGCCACAGCCGGAGCGCTGGGGCCGTGTGACAGGATCTGAGCCCCGGGGGCCTGTCTGGTGGCAGCTTGAGATTCCATCATCCCCAGAAACACAGACTGAGGCCAGGAGGGACAGGAGAGCTCCCCCAGCTTGTCCCACTCTGCCCAGTCTGCTGTCCCGCCCGTGTGTTCCATTTGCTGAACCCCGGGAAAACCCGTTGACAAAGGCGTCTGGGAAGTGCCACGTGTAGCTGTGTCAGGGGTCTCAAGACCAGCCCAGGTTCCATGATGCACTGGGAGTGCTGAGCAGAGTCAGCCATGCCTGCTTGTGACTGATTTATTGCAGAAAAAAGAGGCAAATCAACTTGGCCATAGGAAAAGGCAAAGGGACGAAGCCCAGAGGGAACCAGACAGAAGCTTCCGGGCCCTCTTCCCATCAAGTCACATGGGATGGGATGTGCCTAGCTCCCTTAGAAGTGTGTTGTGAGCACACCTGCAGTGCTGTCAGCCAGGGAGCTCACAGGAGACTCCTTGCTGGGTGTTTCCTGGGGGCGGGCCACACGGGCACCCTCTGCCTGCCTCCTGTCCCAATTCTGGACCCCCCTCAGAGAGGCAGGCACTTAGCACAAACCACAGCTTTTGTCTAGCGTAAGAACAGTGAGCGACACTTGTCACCCAGGGAAAGGTTGGGGAAGACCCTGGACATCCAAGTTCTCAGACAACAGCCAAGGACCAACCTTGCAAGCAAACGAGTCTAAGGCCAGTTTTGAGATTTCTGTGCCAACTCCTGCCCACAGCCCTTCTCTGGCCCCGTCAGTAGTGCAGGGAATGAGGAGAGAAGACCTTCGGGCAAACAGTTTCAGGAGGTCGAGTTGACTTTTGTCGCCATGTGTCCAGTGCTGTCCTTCACTCTCTCTATTTAAGAGTTTTGTTTTATGTATTTGAAAGGCAGAGTTACAGAGAGAGAGAGAGAGTGAGAGAGAGAGAGAGAGATTCCATCCACTGGTGGTTAATCCAGGAGCCCGGAACTCCATCTGTGTCTCCTATGTGGGTGCAAAGGCCCGAGTTGGACCAACTTCTGCTTTCCCAGGTGCATAAGCCGGGAGCTAGATTGGAAGTGGAGCAGCTGGGACTCAAACCGGCACTCACATGGGCTGCCAGTCTGACAGACGATCGCTCAACCCAGTGCGCCACAGCGGCAGCCCCTCTCTCCTCCCTTCATTGCTATGGAGAGTTCAACCATGAGG